AAAATACTGACGAAGGGCATGAGAGACTTTCTCCCATTGTTCATGTAGACTTCCTGGTACCTACCTCAATATAAAAATTTAAATAATATATATTTAAAAAATTTTATAAATTGTGTATTTATTCAACATGAAATCATCACTTATATTTTGTGCAACTTTCAATTTAACATTCATTTAATTTCACTAAAAATTAGGAAGTTGACCTCTCTATGTATGTTCCCTTTCACAGTTTAAAGTTTTCTGCTAATGATCCTTGGTTTTACATTAACATGAAAGTGTTAGTTTCTCCATAGCCTCTTGCTTCTGATAACAAAGTAAATGGACACAGCTCTATATGCCACTGCTTAGGGGGTTTCCGAATATTAGTGTAGTGAGCCTCTGGAATGAATTTTTAGTTTCATTAGCTCACTTTGTTTTCTGACTGACCCATTGTTTTAAATATGGAAGTTTATCAATAATTCAATAATGCTTTTGTAATCCTGATCCAGCTCTTATACAGTCTTAACATTTTGTGCTATGCAACAAGAAAAGGTCATTTTAAAACAGATTCCTTTTTTAATTATCCATACATCTAACGTCATTTAAATTATATTTTTTACTTAAAAATCAAAACAAAAAATCCTTTGTTAGCTTATTTTGAAGATTAAATAAATAACATATATAAAGAATCCAACGTTCGAAGTACAAGTCTTCAAACATTAATTCCTTTGTCTGTCCCACAGTTTATTTTTGGTTTAGTAATTATATCAATGCAGAATTAGCTGACCATGAGAGATGCTTCAGTTAATGCTGATATTCAGAAAAAAATATAATGGTACATATTAATATACACAAATTAATGTTCAAAAGTCACTCTAAAACTACTCTGTTAGAGGAAGGTTATTTAAAATAATGAAACAGTGATATAAGGAATGTCATTATTTCATAACCAATACCTCAGATTGTCTAAAACGTATACCTCGTATGTACCAGTTAACCCTAAACATGGACAACCCCATAAGTCAAGGGTCTTTTTGGGGGTCTGTAATCTGAATGAGCACACACACACACACACACACACACACACACACACACACGAGAGAGAGAGAGAGAGAGAGAGAGAGAGAGAGAGAGAGAGAGAGAGGCAGAGAGGAGAGATAGCCAGAGAGAGACTAAACGGCAGCGACAGAATAAATACCTGAAACTCTGAGCAGTAAATAGTTTTAAAAATTTGCTAGTATACTTACCTTATGTTTATACTAAGAGCCAAAATGATCTTGTTTTGTATTTACACTACCTAGATCACCTTAATGTTGTTTATCCTTAGCAGCCCAAATAATACTGACATTTTCTAAGGATAAACTTTATGTTTCCTACTTTTCCTGTTTTAAAACTTGGAACCATGGAAAATATGAGTGCCTTTTCCACCTTGTGTAGAAAGCCTTCTCTTTAGTTAGTGTGATGCCATTTCTAACTTTGCAGAAAAGAAAGGTTTTTCATGGCCAGCTTTTGAGGCCCAGATTGCTTGCTCATAAATGGAGACATGTACTGCTGATTAGAGCTCAAATATAAGAGGATAAAAATTATTAGTGTTCCTGCCAATCCAGGCTCAAAGAAATACTGCATAATTTGAACCATCAGACAATAGAACTACAAATGCACATTACTTAATGAAGTCTTTTTTCCAAAAAAAAAATTTTTTTGATGGTATCTCTTCTGTTCTCTTCTGATGTCCATTGAAGTTACCCTTTAGAAAAATGGAGTCCACCTTTCCCAATAGTAACTTGACTGGAAGTCCCTCCTTCAGAGCAAATAATTAGTTGAGATGCCTAGTGCTTCTATGGCCATAAACAGGATTATTTGGTTCAGATCTTCCTCACAACACTTCCCTGGGTTTATTAGCATTACCTGTTCTTATTGACATCATTAGTTACAGATGGAAATATTGAGGTGCTGAATGGGAAAGTACCTTGAATGGTGTTACACAGCTATTAACAACACTCAAGGCAATGCTCACCAAGGAGCATTCATTGGCTTCATTGGCTCCTGTCCTACTGCTAGTTGAACCCAAGTTCAGTCAAGGCACTGCTCATAGTATACAATATCATCTCCACTGTCTTGGAAATTCTGGAGCAAGTGAAACAGACACTTCAGTCACCTGCCGGTCTATATTCTGAGAGCAGACTGATTAGGTTTTAAAGTCAAAAAGAAAAGTTGAAAAAAATCAGCTCTGCCACCTACTAGCTGTTACCCTGATTCTCAGCAAATTAGTTAATATCATTCATCACATAGAGACTTTCCTTGATGCTAAAGATAACAGTGGTATACAAAAGACTTGTATGTCTGCCCTTCAGACACTTAAAGTACCTTAAAAATACCTAGTTTTCATCTGGAAGAAGAAAATTATTACATAGTTATATTCAACAGTGGATAAATAATAAATATATAACTCCTAGGATAGTGATAGGCATTTCATAAATCTCCCATAATTTTCATATGACCTATGTACTTTGAAGTAAATCTAAACTCCTAAGGAGTAGGCAAGCAACTACAGAATTATCTTTACCCATAACCTAAGTCTGGAAAAACAAACAAACAACAACAACAAAACTTTTTACTTGAACCTCGTTTTTTCAAGGTTTGTAGGAAATTTATAAATATATATGTACAAAACTATTATCAATATTGTTATTATCTATAAAAAAATATTACCACTATGTAGAGATACTTAAATCACTCCTTTAATTAACAACCAATAATTGTCAAGTAATGGATTCTTACGTGATCTACACATACATAAAATTAGGAACTCAGCTAAAGGACTAATCCCTATAATGTTGATGCTAGTTGAATAATCTTCACATTAACCCACATTGTCTGGCCACTGTTTTACCTGGGAGACGAAAATAATCAGTGCATGAACATTATATATGTTTATACATATGCAGTTGTAAATAAGAAGTGTCTCTGGTTCTATGTTTATCTGTCCACAGTCTGTGTCTCTGTGCACCTCTGTATTCCTCCTTTCTGTTTTCCATGACTTCCTCAAGAACTATAGGATCTATATGTGTCATGAGGCAAGCCTAGAGAAATTGAAAAGTGATGTCCAGTTCCTGGCTTTACTAGGGTTGCACAAAAATAAATCTATTTTGTATCATTTTATAGATACGGTTCAGAGAAAGGAAAGGAAAGTTGGAGAATCAAAAGTAGTGGTAATTTGTGTGGCTGGGGCTTTTTTGGGGTGAGAATGAACCAGAGAATTGAGCATACTAATCAATCCCTCTACATCTTCAGCTATATACCAGCCCCCCGAACTTTACAATGTGCTTTTAGACAGAGTCTCTATGAGTTAGTAGTTACCCAGGAATTTGCAATCCCCTTGCCTCAGTTTTCCCAGTAGATTACAGGATAGCAGCACTACCCTTAGCTCCTGGGACTCCTTCTGACTGTCAGTAAAAGGACATCAAAGTGTAATGTGGGATCTTAAAGTAGGAGATCTATTCCTGGTCTATAGCTACTCTCAAGTGCCAAAGGTTTGGAGTTTGAAAAGGTGACCATGGTTCTACAATATTTTAACTACTCCACTTATTCAGACTTTCCTTATAATTATACTGAGTCATAACTAAGACGATGGAAAATGTGATCAATCAGCATACTGTGATGAACAGGAAATCACATTTTTATAGCATTTTCAAAGAGAGAGAAAAGGGATTAAAGAACTTTAGAAGTACTCTATGCATGTTTTTCATCTGCAAGTCTGTTTATTGTTAAAAATAAGTCTCTAGCTATATTTTTATGGATTTTATAGGCTAATATGTTACATTATGTCTAAGTTACTAATAATGGACAGTTATTAATAAGAATAAAAGACTGATCAGGTCTGTATATACTTATTTATGTTTCTCTATATTTTATTTCTATAAAAACAAATTTCATAGTTGTATGTTACTTAATTTTATAGTGCTTTTATTAATATATACATTTTTAAATTGCTAAAATGATACAAAGTTTGATCAGTCCAAAATGACATTTTACTACATATTTTATCTTATATCTTTCCTCTGAAGAGGTGCATTACTGTTTGTGAAGAATTGAGTTTGACATCTCAGCTCTGCTTCACTTTGCTGTTTTCAGAAATTAATTATCCTTGAAATATATGTTTGCCAGCATAGGTGATTTGTAGGAGTAGCAATGTTCTAAGTATTTTATGGTGAGATGCACTGTACAAAAAAATGTGTGTCATGATTTTGGTGTGTGAG